AGTTGGGGCCCCTGCGGGGCGTGGGACGGATCCCGGAGGAGGGGAGCCGCTGCGTGCGGAGACAGCGGTGCGCTCCCAGGCGAGCAGGACCTTGTCGGGGTCCCAGCTCTCTGCTCCCTACCGTAGGGCTGAATGGAGACAGGGATCGGCATGGGCATGGGCAGGGGGGTGGTAACCCTCCATCTCCAGGCACCTAACTGGAAAGACTTGTCCTGACCCTCGGGGCGGGGTTCTATCACACTTGGACTCTTGGGCGGCAGGGAGAGGTGTCTGCAAAAACAATAAAAATACACGGGTTAATTGATTTACAAGTCCACTGAAGTGAAGGAGCAATACAATCGGAGACCCCCCGAGGCAGACTATGATTTTCAAATCTTACGGGGGGCTCTCATCTCTTATGGGGGTGCTCAGCCCCCGGAGCTCCCCCTTAATTCTTACCCTGCTTCCAAGCATGAGGAAGGAAGGCCAGGGACAGCTGGACCACCTCCCACAGCATTACCTAGGAGGAATTCCTTGGGCCAGAGAGGAGTCTGCAGCAAGAAGAGGAGGGAGACTGGGGGGCTCAGGTCACCTATAGCCTGTGACCTGGGTGTGGTGGCTCCTAGAGATTAGAGAAGACTGCTTATTCTTCAGTGTATGTATAGGTGGGATGAGAGATATGTTATGCCTGTTCTGTGCTGATACCAGGCATCTCTCAGAAGGGTGCTGGCAACCTCCACTGAAAAATCAGAGATTAAGGAGAGATGGGGACAGCAAGACAGTGATGCCCTTTGCCCCTTGGAACTAGGCAGTGAGGTAGGACAGGTCAGATGACTGCTGATCTTCTCTAGGGACAGGCCTTAGGTCACTTGCACTAACACCAAATCCCCTTCATTCAAAATAAATATTCCCCCACATAGGGTGCATCCCAATGAGCAGGAACGTGCATTCCCCAGGGCCAAGCAGCAACAGTGCTGTTGCTAGTTACCTCCAGGGAATGCCCCTACACATGCTGTCTAGTGCATGGCAAGTTACCCTGGGTGGGATCTGGGAGGCTGGGAACAGCACCTGGGCTGGCTCCAGCAGTCTTAGCTGGGGTTCTGGAGGCCTGTGAGAGATCTAGCAGTGGTGCTCTGGGAGCACAGAGCCTAGCCAGCACCAGAAGCCTGGCTCTGGCCAGCCAGGCTCTGGTTTCGGGTGGCGCATACTGCCACCATGTGCACTGCCCCACTTTTTTTCTGGTGCGTTCTTTTTACATCAAGATCTCCTGCTGCACTACAAATTAGCAACAAGGCAATGCTTGCATGTCCAGCGTGCGCAGTTTGCAGCACCGCAGGTGGGTCTGCATTGCCACAAACCTCACGTGTGCTTGTGGGGATGCACCCATAGATTTATTTTGTTTGCTTAGTCTGATACTGGCCACTGTCTTCACAAGGCTAACAGGAACCTTTAAAAAATCTGTTAATTGAGTCATCCTGGTTAGCCCAGGAGCCATTAAACTTTGACAGCCTTTAGTGCTGTTTGAAACCAGTGCTGGATTGAGAGGTCTGAATGCTGATTACCTTGTACAAAGTATGACATGGGCAGCAGCAAAGAGACACATTTCCAGCATGCTCACCTAGCAATTTGCATCCTCCTGGAACTGGAGGAACACTTCTTTAATAAGAGAGGAGCTGCTTCTCCATATCCTGGATCCTTTGGCTATCCATTTAAGAATATTATGAAGGGAAACAATTCAGGTAGTGATCTTGTAATGATGAAATTTTCCCTTGGGGAACTAGAATTCTCAACTCTGTTCTACATTGGCCATAATCACAATGGATGTGCAAAAACCAAAGGAAGTAAGAAGCAAGTCAGATATTTTAGGTAAAAGTGTATGTGTCCTATTTTCATTCCCATGGGCCACCCCAGCCCCTCAGGAAACTTTGCTTTGACTAAGCTGTGATAATTTATGTCAAAAGGTTAAAGCCCAAACACTTTGCTGGCACTTCATGGAGCAGCACTCAGAATTACCATCCTGTCACCACTTAAATGCCACTGTTGCCAGTGTTACCACTCAGGGAAACTAGGTTTAGTTAGGATTTTTTTTTCTCTCAACAGTGGAAAAGATTCTTATCTGACAAGAAATGTACAGAGACCAACCTTTGAGGTTGTGCAGCACTACAGATCAGCAGACAGAGGGGAACAATAAATTGGTGGAAGAGCCCTCAACTGGCCTGTAGGACACTTAGGCTCACTGGGCACATCCAGACAAGCACGCATGTGCCTCTTGCAGTATCTTAAAGCAGCTGAGAACAAAAAAATGTTCCCCGTGCTGCATATTTGCAGTGTGGGCTCAAAATTTGATACCTGGAAAACCAGGTATCAACAAAAAACCCACACAAAAAAGCAGAGCAAGGCACAATTCAGGACCATGGCCCAAGACAATCTGGAAGCTGGTCCTCCAGAGAGATGCTCTGATTTCTGGCCAGAGCATCTCTATGGTGCTTCTGATGCCCCAGCATGCAGGGCATGCTCCCTTAGGTTGCTGGGGTAAACAGAAGCAGGGCAAAGCTCCAGTGTGACCGGGACCTGGGTGCTGTCCCAGGTAAGTTAGGGACATGGAGGTGGGGTGTGTGGGGGTCTGGTGATGGGTGTGGGGGGTGAGGGGGATGTGGGGAGTGGTGGGGATGTGTGTGGGGATGTGAAGTTTGTTGGGGGGCTTGGATGGGAGTCGCCACACTCTGGCCATCCCACCTACCCCCTGCAGCATCAGTGGCAGCAGCCAGCTGGGACGTGGGCCCACTGCAGGCACAGCCTGTGGTGGCATGGCATTGCCTGATGGGGGCTCTGTACATGCTGATCTGGCCTGGCCCAGCCCACTACTGCATGGCTTTGGACAGGAGTGGGAAACCTGTGCACTAGTGGGGCAGGCCGGGCATGCCATTCGGCATGTACAGAGCCTGCATCAGGCTGTGCCTGCAGTCGGGCCATGTCCCAGCTGGCTGCTGTCACGAGCACTGTAAGGGTGAGTGTGGGAGCAGGTGTGTGGTGGTTCCTGTTCAAGACCCCCACAAACCTACCCACAACCCCTACATCCCCCCTGACACCAGACAAACTTGGTACAGCCCAGGTGGCCATGCAGTCCCTGTCCAGATCTGGCAGGTGTGTAGACATGGGGCTGCAGGTCCAAGGGGACAGATGCTGTCACAGGTGGCAGCAGGTCACAGCCAGGCAGGATC